TTTGAACCCATTTGGTTGCGATCTCATACTGCTCTTTAATTTTTATAAGGAAATTATTACGAGAAAATTTGAGAAAGTTCTATCAAAAAGTAGTCTCCAAATTTTACATAAGAAAAGATAGTAGGCATACCCGTATATCATTTTGGAAAAAGGCTAAAACGAAGAAAATAAATCAAAATCTTTTTTTTTTCCTTGTAATTGCCATATAAACCTCGAAGAGCTATTGTAGTATGAAATTACAAACCAGTCAGGTCAAACTCAAACGCAAAAGAATAATCTGGACGGACCTGCTTTGGTGGAGGTGGAGCAAAATCTGCAAAATCATTGCAGGGGTTTCTTTCCAAACACTTCTATGGCCACTAGAGGCCCTACGGGCACCAACTCCGGGACAATCCATCGGATGATCACAAAATTATGATAAACAGTCTCCTGCTGTAAATTCATGAATTTTGATACCCATATTGTAGCGGTTTCTTCCCAAACACTTCTATGGCCACTAGAGGCCCTACGGGAACCTGCGCCGGAATGGCCGTTCCGGGGAGAAACCTTAAACTGGTCCTCAAGTAAGCTGAAATTGTTTCTTGAAGGAGATTCTACTTTGATATCGATTCCTTCAAAATTCTAGCAAAAGGCAAGAAAATGCTTAGTTCTGAAACAATCCGGATTTCTTAGAACCAGACTATTCCAAATGGACATTGTTGGCAATGTCCAGAAAGAACACAAATTTCTGAATCCTATGGTGCCAAAAGATTCAAAATCGGTCAAATTTGGCCGTAATAGCAACCAGAGACTTTAAATATTAAAAATTAGATCGATTTGTTTGAAAACAGCCGAGTTATAGCGGTGAATATAAAATATTTCCTACCGCGTCTATCGAGAGACTCGTACAGCATAGCTCACCATTGGAAAAGAGAAATGAAAACAAAATACGCAGCATACTCCCGGTCATTCTGCAGCTTCAACTTTCAACATGCACGATAAGCGGGAGAACGAATGAATTGAAAAATCGGCTTCCACCGAGCTGCTGCAGCAAACAGCACACAAGCAATCGACAAAAGGCAGAACGACTGCGCCATTTTGCCAGTCAAACCAACGTGCTTGCTTTGCACATTGAATGCAGAAAACGTACGCGATCACGCAGTCACAGTCGATATGCGATCCCCTTTCAAGCCCTGGGTGCTTACAAAACAGTGCGACACACAAACATTATGAGAATGTGAGATGCGACAAAACTGAAGAGAGAGAAACAGAGTGTTACAAATCTCTTGCGCATGAGATTGCTATCCCGAGCAAAGCTGAAGATCAAATTGAAATCAAAATTTGCTGTTATGATGTAACTTATTTTGAATACTCCAGTTGATCTCATTTTGGTTGACTTAACGGTTAACACAGCAAAAATGAGAGCAAAATTTTACACTGTTGAAGCAAACGGAAAACTAATCCTGCTTTCAATGAAATCAATTTGATTACTGATGTTGCATTCATAATGTTTAACTGAATACGGGCTTGGAGTAAATGGTTACCATTCATGTTTCTCAAGCTGAAAGACTTGGGCTCCAATCTCACCCCGGGCAAGTCACGAATGACTTAAAATGTGTTAAACAAATCAAATAAACAATAATCATTAGTTCAACGACAGATGAATTTCAATTAAATTTTAAACAAGACGTAAACAGCAGAACTTCAACTTAAGTTGCTTTCATTTAAAAAGTCTTGACTGCATAATGAAAGCACAATATGATATCAGACTTATGTCGCAACATTTGAAATCAAAATGAGTTTTCATTATGATAGGAACTGCACACTTTAATATCGATTTGCTTTCATTTTGTTAACCGACTTTGCTCGGGATGACTATGAGACTATTCGTATTGCGTCTCGCATACGGTAGCGCGCGCACTGGAAGCCTGGTCAGGATTTGGAATATAGAACAGCTACTGGAGGAGTGAAAATAGGGAGTAATATGCCCAATATACGAAAAGATGGACAAGTTATAATATTCAATCTTTGAAATTTGTCGAACCTCTTATGTTCACATAATACATTTTAAATATTTGATCTAGGTACATTCATTAATTTATATTATTACACATACAAGTTTGTGATATGTTGGGTAAAATAAATGGATACAGCAATACAATTCGTTTTTATCAGTTAAGTAACGGTTATTCATATTAGTCGGGGTACTTTGTAAGACCATAATAATCATCACTTAAAATGTATAATTTTGTTTCGGCTTTTCAGTCTTCAAGAAAAAGCACTGATTACAGTTTTATCAACCTGTTAGCACTCGTGTTTTTTTTCAGTTACCGGGGGGACCACTTTTGTGATTAGCACCGGTCGCTTTCAAATTATCGCATTATTTATAACCGATCCTGATTGACGGTTTATGTTGAAATTACGTTTCACATTCGTCTAGTGATGTCCGATTTTTATTCAAATAACTACAGCAACAGCTGTTATTGTTTACTCAATTAAAATGTTGAATTTTACAATATTATTCAATACAAAACGAATAAACAATTTTGACGTAGGATTACGTCTTTCGGCAACACATTGGGGGTGCCTAACACAGATTTCAAAATCGAATTCCACCCGGTATCGCTAAACGGTGCTTATTCAATCACCGTGTGTGGTGGTGTCCTGTCGGTCGGCATCAGGTCGGCACGTCATGTCATCATCTTAATTTTGCGCTTATTGTGTAACACATCGATTTCATGTGTGAATCTTATGCTATGAATCATGCATGAACACTATGGATTTGAATTGTGACACACTTGGATTCTATGTGCCTCATATGGTGATATTAATAGCTTTGCACATCATAGTTCAATATTCTACTTTATCGACTTCTACTTTGCCGACTCTAAACATGGATCGACAAATATATAAACAAAACTGCCAGAGGCCAGAGCTTTCACATATCTTTTTAATAGGTCTGATTTGGGATTCGATCATGGACTGTTGTGGTGTGCTGCTGCCGGAGTCTTCGTTCAATCCATTGAGCCACGGTTGTACTTATATATGAGGCGGGTTGATAGGATAAAGACACAACTCTTGTTTTCGATGCAAGCAATTCACATCGAATTGAAATGCAAAACACTTTAAATCCATCTGTTTTGAACAGTAGTGTGATTCAATGTGCAATACACTTGAATAGATAGTTTCAAAGTTTGAAACACTAGAAATTAACGTGTATAACACATTGAACCAAGGCGAAATACACTTGAAGTAAATGTGATTGTGCATTTAAAAAATCAAGTGTTTAAACACTTCGATCAAACGTGTGGAATTTTTTGAGTGTAGACCGGGGAACAACGACTTTACTTTAGGAAGACGTGATAAGAGATTTTATGCCTCGGAAAATCCCGACGGCGCCGACTGGGATCGAACCCAGGCTTTTTGGGGTAAGAGGCAATCACGCTTCACCACCGGCGCCGCTTGCGAATAAACCAATAAAATCAAATGAAAACTATTGTTGATGATATTTTAAATACGGCGTCGCCGGGATGTTCTGAGGCATAACATCTCTGATCACGCCTTCCTTCGGAAGGGAAGTAAAGCCGTTGGTCCCCGGTTCATGAGTTGATGGGTCGATAGGTAGGATCCAAGTGCGGGAGCTGCCAACCCAACAAACAATTCGAGTTGATCAACAGCTGATTAAGCTATTTTTTAGCTGAAGAAGCTTGTTTTTGCCTGAATAAGCTCTTATTCAACATTCAATGTTTGTTGGGAAGATCGACGGAAAACAAATCAAGGAAAAAAAGATATTTTAAATAGCTGGTTTTGCCAAATTTGGTGAAAACTAATTTTGGCTATAAAAATGTTTTATGAAATTATGGAATAATAAGATACTATGATGATATTTTGTATGTGTAAGTATCAAGAAAAGATTGTAAAGATTGTGTTTGGCACATAAAACCTGCAAATTTAGCTTTGACATAGTCACAGAGAGTGATTTTCTGATCGCCTCTTCACGAAGAGTGAAGAGCGAAGAGTGTGCGACTGTCGTGTAGCAAAATTGGCAGGTATTATGTGTCAAACACAATCTTTACAATCTTTTCAATGTTGCTTACACAAACAAGCTTACCGAAGGCTTGCATGCACAATGAAGCAATTTCTTTGAATTTTTGAATTTAATTGGCTAGAAATTAATTTTTGATCAATTAAAGAAAATATTTACCTATTATTTGTTATTAATGTTTCAATCAATCATTAATAGTGATGCCTCATTGCAGGCATTGTAGGAAAAAATGAAATTTTAAAATCCTTATTTTAGAATGTGTAATTATTATAAATAATTTCGATTTTCGACACATCAGCACAAAATGTTTTTTTTAGTGCAGTTTCGAACCTCTTTGGATACGGTTGTGTTTAAAGTTTGCTCTCTGTTTTGTGCGTGCATTCGCTTTCATAGTTTTCGACTGCATTTGCCGGATTAGCGCTGGTACTCTGCCTCCCGGACGGTTATTCGTGTGTGATTGGTGATTTTCTCGCTTTCCGGGAAGTTTTAAAATCGAGAAAGAAAACGTGATTCATCATGTTTGCAAGCATCAGAAGAGATGTCGCTATTTGCGTTGTTTTTTTTGCTATTTTTGTAAGACTTCATTTTGGACAGAACTTTCTATAATGCTGCATGGGACCACCATTCATAGTTTCATGGGTTAGCTTGAGCTAGCATTGAAAATGTGTTTATTTTCAAAATTATTGCCACTATATTTAATATATTGCCGATTTCGCACCTAAATAGACTCGTGCGATAAAAATAAGTACACAATAATATTTTCGCACTGGTTATAAAATTTAAATATTGAGATTCTTAAGGTTTTCTAGAGCTGGAATTCATTGGTGTCGCTTGCCAGTACTGTTCTAAAGCTGCTACTGTTTTCAAATAAGTCTAGTTTTAAATTATTTGCGGAAATATTACTGTGCAATTACTTTTTGCACAGGAGTCTAAGTCTAAAAAAGCAATAATGTGCGGTAAGTTTATTCGATCATACCTTTCAATTTTGGAAACTCCACTATCGTGCCGACTTCATCCTTGCTCTGTACTGGGAAGCTATTTTGATCCTTCATTTTACTCAGGGGGTTCTTTTCCTTCCCGAATGCTTCCGCGTCGTTCATCAATATTACTGGTTTGGTCGATTTCGGCCTGAAAACATTTTATTTTACGAAACCATCTGATGAAAATTATTCAAAACGTTCGTACCTATCCGTGGCATCTTTTTTCGCTGGAAGATCCTTCGGAAACAGCCCAATAAGCGCTGCAAAAATAAGCATAGCTACACCCAGGATAATCCATCCTAACCACCAGGCTCCCAACCATCGCGGGTCGGAACTGTCGATGACGGGTGTTTTAGTTGGATCAATGTAAATCTTCAAGGCAAAATATCCTGTTTTAAAGAAAAAAAAAACAGTTTAGTTAGATTCCTAATTTCATTGATGTAAGATAGCTTACCAAGTGCAAATCCAACTACCGGTCCGAACGTTCTCAGCGACGACGCGTAGGCCAGCATCAGTGGGGTGTTCGTTTTCTTAGTGTTGTCATCCAGATAGGTTTGACCAAGCGAGTAATAGAGAGTGTTTCCAATGCCCAGCACAAACTGAGACATGAATATCAAAACCAGTGGAACTACTGAGATGACGTCGTGGCACTCTTTCGTATTGAACGTGTCCATACAGAGTCGATTTGTGCTTTTCACAATCCTCGTCAGGTTGTGGCTGTTGAGCAGTGCTTCCGCTTCCTTATCGTTAATGTACTCTTTCGTTAGTTGTAACGCAGCATCGCCAGCTCCGTAGATGAAGTGAGGCGTTGCTAGGATGAAGCAGGAAAGAGCACAGAACACTACACCCCATGCTATCCATCGGGGGCGATTTCTGTGGCCTCCCACGTACGAAAGGATGAGCGATAGAAGGATTTGCGATATCTCGTTTCCGCTGAGGATGATTCCTGAAAGTGAGACAAAGAATGTGGGTTATTGCTATGCAAATCATTAACAAAGATGACCAATCGATCACTCTCAAAAGACACCACAATGACAAAGTCATTTACACAGACTCAAACTGTATAATAAAAATGATCAATCATGTACACATCATTGTCATTTTCACGAAAAGATAAGTTGTTCTACAGTAGGGTAGAGAACTACTTCGGCCTATCGCCCATTTTGGGCCTATCGAGCAGAAAACTTCAAATAAATCCATGATTTCAGAGTTAACAAGTCAATTATGCGTTTGGTACGATACTTTAGTTAATAAGCTACCGAACTAAGTCAATGAGAACGCGTGATATGAAGGTTTGCACCCATTATTCCCAAAAACAAAAGAAACGCTCCGACCGAATCAATTTTTATCTTCATCCGATAGTCCGAAGTGAATTCAGTTGCGTTTCAATGGCGTTTCAATGCGTTAGGCCGAGTTTTACGTCAAGAAGCAGTGTTAGACTTTTGACAATATCTCAACGATTGGTTTCTCTTTATCAAATCTTACGGTACGTACGGAAAGGTACATAAATTTGGAAGCCATCAGTCATTTAGCATTTTGTTTGGTGCTAAACTGTGGTAGATTAAGAAAGACTATGTGCGAGTTGTGCTTAATATGCCGGAAATGGGGTAGTTAACCCTACTGTTATACGGATCTTATTATCATCATTGTATTATCAAGTTGTTGTTTTACAATGACTAGGCATCAAGTTGTGCTCGATGACTCCACATGAAATTCGAACACTCTGTCAGCAGCCTAATAGGCTATTAGACACATGGAATAACTAAATATTGGATTATACATGCTCTTGAGATAGATTATCGCGAGGTTGTAAATTGATTACACAAATTGTTGTCCATACACGCCTCTAGACTCCATATCACTTCTAAGTATCATAAAAATGTAAAGATATCAGACTGGGTTGGTTTTTGATTCACCTAATCATAGCATGACAACAGAAATGGTGCAGCGGCAAATTATTGGAGGTAGTATTACTTTGGTTTTCTTCATGGTTGGAAATATTTCGTAATTTACCGCTGCAACGTTCAAAATTTATTTTTTCTTTGATCATAAACCAGGCAACAATTTTCGATGGAGTCAAAATTCAATACGGCACTCAATTACCGAAAATATGAAGCATTAGTGTTTAAATCTTTGTAACCATTTTAGAAAGCGGCGCCGGTGGTGTAGTGGTAAGCGTGATTACCTCTCACCCCTGCATGCCTGGGTTCAATCTTAGTCTGCGCCACCGGGATGTTCTGAGGCATAACATCTCTGATCATGCCTTCTTTCGGAAGGGAAGTAAAGCCGTTGGTTCCCGGCTCATGAGTTTGATGGGTTGATAGGTAGGGTCCAGGTGTGGGAGCTGCCTTCCTGGCGTCGGGTAGCATTGGAAAAATTGGCTATGCCTTGGACAGGGCTGTTAGCGAGTCACCAGTTAGCCAGTCTCTGAAAAGTCTCCTTTTTTAAGACCAAGTAACTTTTTCTTGTAATCTGTCTCTGTCAACGTGTTAGCGTGAATTTATTTCAAGATTCACCATTCTTCTTGCAGTGTGTAGGATCTGCTGGTCCTATCGATGCCTACACATTGTTCTAATTTTCGAACAATTCGAAGGTGTTGTGTTTCATTAGAGCTCTTTGGCGTTTAATTGTCTTTCTCTCTATACAGGATGTCTACTCATTAGGATTAATAAAATTCCCTGAGATTTGCAGGTTTTTATAGAACTTTAACGGATAATTTCCAGGTTTATATGTTTTTAACACATTGAAATCAATTTTAAAGAAACAGCTTTACAATCAAATCCATTAAATGTTGAAGTTAAACACTTTCTTCATTTTAGTAAGTTTAATATCTCCAAATATTCAATGTCTTCAAGTTTCGTATTTCATGTACAAGTTCATGATATTACAAATTTTCAAACTGTCCGAATTAAGGAAAAAAAAATCAATGATTTATTTCAAGTTTGTAATTAACTTTATGAAACATTAGAGATCTTCGGTGAAATCCCTAAACTTCACAACAATTGTAAGAACTTTATAGAAGTTATGAGGAGAAAAAGGAAAAGCTGATAATTTCAGTGAAGCATTATGAACAAACTGCGGGAGGGAAGTTAACATTCTGAAAATATGGGGAACTTACTGGAAGCTTTAAGAATCTCAAAGCGGGTCTATTAGCTTCCGAAAAACTGCAGGAGTTTTTATGAAGTTCATAGATTTTCAGAGAACTTCATCGCTGTCAAGATAACTAGTTGCGGAAAGTTTTAATAAGTACTGTAACGGTTATTTGGTTTACATAAACTTCTGCACAAATTCAACTAGTTGATTAGGGAATATCAACGAAGTTCCATTAATTAAAAAATGCGAGAAGTTTTAGCAAGCACCGAAATCCTCAAGAAATTTCAGAGAACATCTAAGAAATATAGATATTTTAGATAGTTTCCTGATATTCAGCGAAGTTCCGAGTACTTTGGGGGCGATCAGATAACTTTATAGCAATCCCATTAAGTTAAGGAAATTTTCACCGACTTACATGAAGGTCCGTGGGATATTCTGAAAATTCTATGATTGATCCGAAAACTTCAGAAGCGTCAGGGCATTATGAATATTATATCAGAAAATTTGTCGGAACATTAATGTGATTTCTTGTAGAGTCCAAAGCTGGTCATCATGATTCAAAATTTCTAGAGCACATATCTTGGACCCTGTTGCGACATCGTTAATGGGCTGTTTACACTTATGCTAGTTCACTAGCCCAACCCGCTCAAACAACAAGCACGAATTTTAGTTGTTCCTAAAATCTCATACTTAAACTATCTTACCATAAACTATCACAGATAGTTACCACAGTTAGAAGATCACAGTCGTAAGTTTACATAAAATACTATTAGAAACTAATTATAACCTAAAATTTATCGCAGATTGCTTCACATACGAGGATTTCGGTTATGCATTAATATCCTATACGCTCAAAACCGAATAATTGGAAGTAGTATTATAACTAAATGAATTCGAGTTTGCGAGCTGCTAATTAAAACGGTTGAGAGCCCTATCGTTCCCGGAACAAAAGGACAGTAATGCGTATAACGGCAGTTCAGAGATTTTCAGAGTTGGGAGGAAAATGCTATACTTATATCAACATCAAGCTTTAGTACGATAATTTATTAACTAGAGAAAATTCTGAAGAGGATAGATTGATAGTTCCGCTAGAGTACGGCAGTGTGAAAATTGTACAGAAGGGCCATGAAATTGAGCGAAGGGCCATAAATGCGGTTATATTTACCAATCAAACGCGCACTTCTTTACCTAGCTTAAAGGGTGATACGGTCAAAATTTGGTCAAGGGAAAACGCGTGTAAATCGGTGAAATCGTTTATTTAAAAAATCAAATTAAATTTCTTTTTCAAGTTCAATTAGTATAAAATTCAGGAAAAATATTCAGTTAGGCTTCCGCTTTTCCAAATCCGAATTGCCGGGCCTTACGCTTGACCCCTGCCATCAGATTTTGTACAGCCACCTTGTCCACCTTCTTCGCCGCAGAAAGCCAGTTTGCCTTGAACTGCTGCTCGCCCTTAGCAGTTTTTTGGTCTTCTTTAGGTTCCACTTGACAATAGTATTTCTCAATTGGGCGGAGCTCTGGCGTGTTGGGAGGGTTCTTGTCCTTGGGAACCACCTGCACGTTGTTGACGGCGTACCACTACATGGCCTTTTTACCGTAATGGCAAGATGCCAAATCCGGCCAAAACAGTACGGAACAACCGTGTTTCTTCAGGAAAGGCAGCAGACCATTTATTCAAACACTCTTTCACGTAAATTTCTTGGTTGACAGTCCTGGAAGCTATGAAAATGCTGCTTTTCAAGCCACAGGTACAGATGGCTTGCCAAACCAGATATTTCTTTGCGAACTTTGACAGTTTCATGTGCTTGAAAACATCTGCTACCTTTCCCCTTCCTTTTGCCGTATAAAACTCCTGTCCCGGAAGCTGCTTGTAGTCGGCTTTGACGTAGGTTTCGTCGTCCATTACCAAGCAGTCAAACTTCGTCAGCATCGTCGTGTACAGCCTCCGGGATCGCGCTTTGGCCGTCGTATTTTGTTTATCATCGCGATTTGGAGTCACTACCTTCTTGTAAGTCGATAGTCCGGCTCGTTTTTTGGCTCGATGCACGGTTGTAGACGATACACCCAGCTTATTTGCGGCATCTCGGAGAGAGAGGTTAGGGTTTCGCTTGAAACTACCGGCAACTCTCTTTGTCGTCTCAGCGGCTTCCGGTTTTCGATTTCCCCCCGATCCAGACTTCCTGGCTGTCGACAAACGTTCCCCAAACACTTTAATTACATTTGTAACGGTTGATTTGGCAACTTTTAGCGATTTTGCCAACTTTGCGTGCGAGTAGCTCGGATTTTCGCGATGCGCGAGCAAAATTTTGATACGCTGCTCTTCTTGCTTGGACGGCATTTTGACAACTGAAGAGTGAATTCCAAAATCAAAATAGGAGCAACATTCTACACACACACACCTTCAAAATGAGGGGTGTTCAGGTTTTTTAAATGCAAAATTGAAAGAAATACGTCAAGTTGATATTGACCAAATTTTGACCGTATCACCCTTTATCCCCTCATATACTAAGATTCTTGCCTTCCACCCGCTCTTGTGATTGCTTAACGAAATATTCCTACTTTGTTTGTTAAATTTCTTAATTGTTTAACTATTTTCACTATACACCAAACAAATAATGAATAATGTCTCCGTCGAATGACATATTTCCTATATAAAGTAATTGAAAACAGAAAATTTAATTAAAAATTAAATCAACCATTCCATCAAAGATGAAGAACCCGTTAGGCAAACCATCGTAAGATCAATGTTAAAAAGCATAGTCAATGGACATAAACGTAATGTTACTACTAGTTCTGCTCAATCGATAAGTAGAAGGTGTACTGCAAATTTGTTGGAGGTTTGCCCACAACCGT